CCCAAGATCTCATAGTCAATTGCGGTGGAGTACAAAGTACGATGCCATGCCCGGCTGCGTCGGTGGAGCTATGGCCCTGACAGACCAAGAAAGGAGATTTTTCAGCCTGCTGCCGTGTGCTTGTGCTTGTCGCATGCATGCATACATAAAGCATTTGATCGTCATACATGATTCGTCTTACTCGACCTCTCTGTCTCTGTCACTTGTCGATGATCCTTCGAGTCCCATCCAAAGGATCATCTCCACCAAGTCTCTCGTTCATCTTCTGATTGATCAACTTGCTTTGCTTGACTTTGGTTGCTGAGCTGAGGTGGGTTGCCTTGTCATCCTGTCATTCTCTTTGTTCCCCTGACACTGCAATGGTCTTCTCGTGGGTGATTCAGGCCGGCTGCTACTTTGGCTTTATAACCTGTAGTACTCCCCCAGGTGTCTGGACTTCAAATCCCACAGTCGTTACATCTGTGCCTCCATCACAGACCAGTGTAGCGAGCAGTAGTGTAACATCTACTGTTGGGCTGACGACCTCGTCTGCTGTACTCTCGTTAACTTCTACCCCGGTGACTCCCACCGGAACTACTCTCGTTTCTTCTTCTATTGGCTTGTCCTCCACCATGTCTCTCAGCCTCAGTTCGAGTATCATCCCCTCGGTCACCCCCTCGGCTACTCCCATTAGCCATGGCTCGGTCTTGTCGAACATCCTTGTGATCGCCAAGGACTCTTCGGCGGCCAGTTCGGCTACCTCGGGGCTCAATGCGTACGGTATCCCGTACACCACGTTGCTGGTCCCCCAGGCGGGTGTTGCCCTGCCGGCCCTCAACTCCAGCAATGTCGGCAACTACGGCGGTATTGTCGTGGCTGCCGAGGTGAGCTACGACTACGGTGGCACTTCCGGCTACCAGAGCGCCTTGACCACCGACCAGTGGAACCAGCTGTATGCCTACCAGCTCGAGTACGGCGTGCGGATGGTGCAGTTCGACGTCTATCCCGGCCCCAAGTTTGGTGCCAGTGCTGTGAACGGCGGTTGCTGCAACACCGGCGTGGAGCAGTTGATCTCGTTCACCGACACTAGTGACTTTCCCACTGCAGGCTTGAAAACTGGCGCTACTGTCAGCACCGAGGGCCTCTGGCACTACCCGGCCACGATCAGCAACACGAGCACCACCAAGGAGATTGCCCAGTTCGCTCCCAACTCGGTCACCTCGACCAAGACCACTGCTGCTGTCATCAACAACTTTGACGGACGCGAGCAGATGGCGTTCTTCATTGGCTTTGCCACGGACTGGAGTGCGACCTCCAACTACCTGCAGCACGCATGGATCACCTGGATCACCCGCGGGCTGTACGCTGGACACCGCCGGGTCAACCTGAACACCCAGATTGACGACATGTTCCTCATAACCGACATCTACTACCCGAATGGAACCACCTTCCGCATCACCGTTGAGGACATGAAAGGCATCTCGGCTTGGGTCCCGACTATCAACGCCAAGATGAACCCCGGCAGCTCGTACTTTGTCGAGGTTGGCCACAACGGCAACGGCAACATTGAGCAGTCGTCTTCCACCGAAGCGGGTGCTGCCGCTTGCAACGGGGGCGGGATCGAGTACGACTCTCCCCCTGACACTCCCTTGGAATTCAAGAAGCCCCTGGGAACCGGTACCGACCTCTGGCCCTCGAAGCCGACTGTCTACGACTGGACTGCCGCCTGCACCCAGCTCGATGACCTGCTGAAGTGGTGGGCCACGCCGGCCAACCGCGACGCGTACGGCCACATCTCGCACACCTTCACCCACGAGGAGCAGAACAACTCGACCTACGCGGACATCTTCAAGGAGATTTCCTTCAACCAGGCCTGGTTGAAACAGGTCGGCCTGGACCAGGCCAAGTGGTTTACGTCCAATGGCATCATCCCCCCTGCCATCACCGGTCTGCACAACGGCGATGCGCTGCGGGCCTGGTGGGACAATGGCATCCGCAACTGTGTTGGAGACAACACCCGCCCGGTGCTGATGAACCAGCAGAACCCCATGTGGCCTTATTTCACTACGGTTGAGTCGGACGGGTTCGCGGGCATGCAGATCAACGGCCGGTGGGCCACGCGCATTTACTACAACTGCGACACTCCGGCCTGCACGGTGCAGGAGTGGATTGATACCTCCGCCGGCGCCGGCAACTTTGACGACCTGCTGGCCGTGGAGAAAGCCGACACCATGCGCCATCTCTTTGGCCTGTGGCATGATGGGTACATGTTCCACCAGGCCAACCTGCGCAACTCGGACGTGAGCCCGATTACGATCAACGGCGTGACGGCCAAGTACTCGATTTTCCAGGCGTGGGTTGAAACTATTGTGCAGGAATTCGTCCGCCTGGTCGACTGGCCTTTGGTCACCATCACCCACCAAGAGGTATGTTCCCTTTTTCTATTTCTACATGTACAACCTGACTAACTCTGATAGATGTCCGATGGCTTCCTTGCGCGGTACCAGCGCGACCAGTGTGGCTACGCCATGTCGTACTCCGTTTCCAACAGGAAAATCACCGCCGTGACCGTGACAGCCACGGGCAACACCTGCAGCCGTCCTATTCCAGTGACCTTCCCTGTGGCTCCCACCAGCACGCAGGGCTATGCCACCGAGCAGTTGGGAAGTGATCCATTGACTGTGTGGGTGCAGCTGTCGGGATCTCCTGTTACCTTTACCCTTTCCACCCCTATTGCTTTGTAGCCTCCCTTATACGGGTACTTATTACATGTCGTAATGATAGTGCATAGTTAGTGAATTGAATTGTATCTGCTCAGCCTGACCTATACTGTAGTCTGTAGCATGCCATGCCATGCCAAGAATCAAGTAAGACATTCTCAATCATCCCCCGGACCAAGTGAATCATTTTCTAACATCCGCTGTCAGGATTCACTCACCAGGAACTTCTGAATCAACCCTTACTAAATATCTCCAACTAGCCCGGTATCAGCCCATGCATCCATGCAACTATCACACCACGCGAATCCAAGACTTGCCCCTGGACCCCTGGACCTAAATCCTGGAATCCACACTGGATCTTGGCGACTTACTATACCGGCGTCGGTGTCGGTGATAGCCACTCCGTAATCGACTCATCATATTATGTTTATCTGACTGCTCCTAAAGCCGACGAGGCAATCAGTCCGCATGGCCGTGGCAAATCAAATCAAATCAATATTCAATAGTCTATCCACGAGCTCAACGGCTAACGTTAGTATCTATTATCCCTACCGGCGGATTGACATGTCTCGGCCGGAGAATCGCAATTGAAGTGCATTGCCGAGTATCTACCGGGCTAGGCTACCCCTTACTTGGAGGACAAGGACCATGGCCTGATTGATGTTTGTCTGGGTCGAATATAGCCGAGACTACTTTGACATTGAGAATGTAAGCGTCACCTTACGGAGAGTCCTGAGTCAAGCAGAGTAGAGACTGAGGTATCGGTCTTCTCCGCGCAGCTACTACAAACTGCACTGCACTGCAGTGCAACCAACTATGCGCTGGCCCACTAATGTCATCTAATGTCCTCTCATCACAGCCTAACAGTAACTAGACTGCCAAGTGCTGATTGCTAACTGGTGCGGCTGGAGCCAAGTCAAGTCAGTCAGTGACGCTGCATGCAAGCAACATTGTTTGCTTCTTCGGTGCCGGCCCAGCCTTCCTCCTCCGCTGTACAGTCAGCGTACAGTGCTGTGCACGGTGTCTGTCTACCCCTGCAGATGCTGTCCTCTGTCATCTGCCTCTGTCATCTGTCCTGATACTCGAGGTAAGGTACGCTAAGCTCAAGCTCCAGCTCCAGCCATCATGCGGAGGCGGATGGGTGGATGCCAGGGCAGGTGGGTGAGCTGGAGTGAGTGTTGTGGTAATGGACTCGACTTTGACTTTGCTACTTTCTTGACTTGGTTTGGGTTTAATGTGTGTTGGTGTGTTGAGTTGAGCATGGACAGCATAGCATAGCATACAGGCTTACATGTTACATCATGACTCTACTCTCGACCGGATAAATGGGAAGGGAAGGAGTGTTTGCTTTACTTTCCGACTATTGAATGGCATTGACCCTACCGAGTCGTTAGTCAACTGTCAGTGTCAACAACGTGGCATTGTGTGGATATCCATGGTGCGAGTCAGACATACTCACTAGTACCTTACCTGGAGGGAGTTGGAACTGTGTACCTGACGATACTGTATGATCCGTATTATAATACCGCCTGATTTGCAAAGAAAAAAATAGTTACAGGTACTTCGATCCTACACGCTAAGCTTTAGCGTCCGGCGCTAAGCGCCCCATATTTGAGATTATCTGGCCGTGCATGATTGGACATGTTCCATCGGGTGAAAAGTCTTTCTTGACACGGGATTTTGGGCCTGAGACTTGCAGGTCAGCCTGGATTTGATTTGATTCCGCTGTCGGAAAGTTGGCAATGTTGCAATTGCAGTGTAGGCAGGTCCTTTGCTGCACTGCTACTTAGGGATATTTATAGAGTGCTGAGTGGAAAGTTGCATCAGAAGTTAAAAGGTAATAGACTCAAAGTCAAATCTGATCAGATGAGTGATATTTCATATTAACTCATCAATATGATGGACAGATCACCTGGTAGTTAGTTACTGGCCAGCCCAAACAATAGTAATAGACGCTGTCAGCCATCACCCAATCCGGCTAGTCCTGCCTCCGTAGGCTGCCGCATAATTCAGTCTCTTTGTTCATATCACCACAGCGGCACAGCCCAGGCGTTAACTCTTGTGATCGCCCTGTGGCTGTCTTTCTCAAGCCTAGACAAGAGTCTGTAGTCTTGTTGAGCGCTTCTCTGATGCTGTGTAACTTTACTCGATTGAGATTCCAAATCAACGTGGCTGTCGAAGGCTACAGCCTACTCTGTACAGCCATATATTGACAGTCGCGCCGCGCCCACTATCTTATCTCATACTCTTCACTTATCTACTGATCTACTGATCTACATCTACATCTACTGATCTCCACTGATGGATCCCGTTGGAAAAGGCCAGTCGGCCGGCGGCTGGAAATCATGGACAACCAGGAAGAAGCTCTTCGTCCTCTCGCTCGTTCTACTCATCATCATCGCCCTGGGAGTCGGTCTCGGAGTTGGACTAGGCATCGGTCTGGGCGGCGGCGGAGAAGGTGAAGAAGGCTCAGGCGGGCAGACCACACCGCCAGAAGGCAACTACACAACGGCGAAGTGGCAGCCAGCAGTGGGAACAAAATGGCAGATCGAGCTGCTACACGCTTTGAACGACACCTCCGTCGACGCAGAGATATACGACATCGACCTGTTCACCAACAACCAGTCCACCATCGCAGGACTACAACAAGCCGGCCGCAAGGTAATCTGCTACTTCTCGGCAGGGAGCTACGAGAACTGGCGACCGGACAAGGACAAATTCAAGGACTCGGATCTGGGCAACGACCTGGCCGACTGGCCCGGAGAGAAATGGCTGAACATCAGCTCGCAAAACGTCCGGCAGATCATGCTCGACCGGCTGGATATGGCACGCGACAAGGGCTGCGACGGGGTGGACCCGGACAATGTCGACGGGTACGACAATGACAACGGGCTGGACCTGACGCAGGCGGACTCGATCCGCTTTGTGAATTTCCTGGCGAATGCGGCGCATGCGCGGAATATGTCGATTGGCTTGAAGAACGCGGGGGATATCATCCCGTCGGTGATCAAAAACATGCAGTGGAGTGTCAACGAGCAGTGTGCGCAGTACAAAGAGTGCGACACCTACGCTGCGTTTCCGCAGAATGGCAAGCCGGTGTTTCACATCGAGTATCCCAAGGGGGATGAGACCAACAATGATCTGTCCGTCACGGCCAACCAGAAGGACGCGGCCTGTGAGTTTGCGGACTCGGGGAATTTCTCGACTGTCATTAAGAATATGAATCTGAACAACTGGGTTGAATATTGTTAGCCTCCTGCCTTGGGTGGTTTGGCTAGAGTGAGAGTGACTAAGATGAGCATGACTATACGGAGTGCATGGGCGGAGTTGGTTTCATTGATCTGACTGTTGACGTTCTATCTTTCTATTTAACTTGAGTATCTAATTATATCGTCTGCATCATGATGTCTCAGTTTCATACACGGATCAACATGATACACGGGATGTAAACATCTCTCTCACAAATCTTGGCCTATAGCACTCCACTAGTAGCATCAAACTTGGCGACTCCGTATGCGTATCAAGTAATAGCCGCCGTCCACGACCCTCACGCATGAACCAGCGGAGAACACAGCACTGCGAACTGCGAACTGCAAATGCAAATGCAAACTGTCCACTGATCTGGACTCACTCAACCGCGCGATCCGTAGATCGAGACTATGCTCGAATGAAACACTAGCCTCGGAATACCTCTTCTAGTCCATTTTCCGTCTGAGTGGATCGCAGCCTGGTAGGAGCCAGCGTCAAGCAAACAGAGTTTTCTCTAGAACTCTACGGAGTAGGGATTGAGTGATTGAGTTTGCTAGTCTGATGCTCGGCTGCAAACTCCTGCTTTAAGAACCTGTAACCTGGCTTGGAAAAGCTAACTTGGCGCCAACCCGCGATCCACAGACCGTAATGTGGACCATCTGATAGATACAATCCTAAACACTAGATAGAGTTTGTCATGGCGCCGTGGTTCTTTAGTTCGGTTGTTTTGGGTCCTCAGGAACATAAGGCCCAAATTAATTAATGTGTGGTTTTCTCGTCACTAGGTTGCAAGAATTGATCTGAATATTCAATGGATTCTCCAGAGTATCCTACTCCGTAGGACAACTATTTCCGTACAATTCCGATAGAGTACGCCAAATGCAAACAGGGAAGATACGGGAAAAGAGCGGGCCTGTTCTGCTCCGAAACAAAGGCCCGAAACTCATGAAACAAGCGGCGGTATTGGCGTACCATAATTCCAAATATTGATGTCACAGAATCACGATGATATAATAAATACGAGTCAGATCACATCCACATCGGAGAAATCACGCTGTACCCCCGTAAGGCAGTCTACACTGTCCTCCGTACTACGGAGTATGTATCTATCGATCTATCTCCTGCAATGTGTACTCGGTACTCCGTACCCTCACTCTGGTTGCCTCAGCCTCCAACCCAAAGTCCCAATTCGAAACAACTTCTATAAATACCATGATTCAGCCAACTGGCATGCAGCCATTGACAATGACAATGACAATGACAACAGCAATATCTCCGTCCATATGTATGTCTTAGCCAACCCAACGCATATTACCCAACAACTGACATAAATCATATCGACCTTCCAGATGAGGACACACTCGCAGAGTCCTGGTAGGGTAGAAACGTAGAATACCAACGACCTAGTGCCAAGCAGCGCCATCCCATCAGCGCCACCTGCCGTCCAGTTGTTCCCCGTCCACTGATTGTGTATGTTTTAGTCTGGCGGGGATTGATGCAGATACCCCTGCATCATATGCAGTAGTCAGTCTTGGTATGGGACCGATGGGTAGTTGTACGAGGTGGATACGGGTATGGAGGATGATGAATCCATGGCTCAGCCTCAGATCTGGCAGACTGGGACTGGACGCTGTTGAGACAGTTTCACTCTCCGATATTTGGGTTGGTACGGAGTACATCCTAGAGAATGAGTACTGGTTACTTGACAGTTGGTCCAGGATTTTAGGTGATTACGCGGATCGTTAACCATAATTCTATTGTAAGTATGCTGAAATTTACAGCTTTAAATACATGAAAGTAGTTACGTACATCGAATGTCCTCATCTGTCATAATCATGTCATCATGTCATCTAAGCATGGGTTATCCGCCTATTTTCCCATCAAATCCACAAACTCAGGCCACTGCCGCCCAAAACTGGCATAGTAATCCGTATCCAAGTGGGTGATGAAAATCTCATCGGCAACCTTGCGAACCTGCTTCACCAAACCCCGGAGCGCAGACCCTTCGACGCTCTCTGGGACTGAGTGGATCACCGCACAGAGCTGGCTGCGGTTGCTGTCCGGGATCGCCTCGAACAGGTTGGCCCCATGGCGTTCCTGAAAGGTGTCGTACGTTGCTTCGAACACGACAGTCGAGTCTGCTGTCGACAGGTAGCGAGAGTCAGGGATTGCGCCGGGATTGTGAACCACCTGCAATTTAGCACTTAGCAACTGATGTAGACGACAGATTGACTCTGAAAAAGCAAAGTGATAAACAGTGGAAGGTGGCAAGCGAGGAAACAAAAATACATTACCAAACGCGGTAATTACCAGGGAAACGTACGTAATGATCCGGCCCCAAACCAGGGGTATTTTTCACAACATCGGTCAACTCCTGCAGATACGCCAAGGCATCCTCATCATACTGCTGAGGGGTCTCGTCGAAGAAGATCCCCCGAACAGCTAGGGCCGGGTTGGAAGAGTTCGTTGGCCACGCCGCATACGTCTCGATGTCCCTGCGCACCAGCGAGATATTGCGCTTCGCGTAGGTTGTCGCCACATAGCCTAGCAGCCGCACATTCTCGTAGGAGCCCAGCTTGGGGATCTCGCGCGTGTAGTTGCCATCAGGCAAGGCGTTGGGTCCGGGGCCGCTCCCTGGATTGATCACAACTGTGAAGTTCACCTCTGGGTGTTTGGAGATCCTGTGTGTGTGGCGTCAGCTGTCTGTTGCGTAGCTCACCACTTTACCCTGGTTGGTCGTGGCCGGGCCAAAGATGCCGGAAGGTCAAGGTGAACGTGGACGGAACATACACATCTTCAAGCGGAGTCCAGGCTCCGGGTGCAGGGTACACATAGAGAGGCACAAAGACCTTGGATTTAGGCCCCATGTCGTTCTTCTTGTGCAGCGTCACCACAACCGCCGGAGGGATCACGACAGCCAGAATAGCAATAAAGACAACGACAGCCAAGAGGATTCGAGAGCGCCGGCTTTGCAGGCAGCGTCTATTGCTCACGTGTTTTTCCGCCATTGTATGTAATAAAAATAAAATACTAAAAGGATTCAACAAACCTAACCGAGTGTCAGAGGATCAAGAAGAAACGCATCAAGTGGATTTCCCTCGACGGACATGGCGCCGGAAGCCTACGAAATAAGTAGTTGGCTAGTCCAAGTCAGCCCTAGATACATGCTCACCGAGGTTAAACTGTTTCTAGTGGATGGGTCTCATCTTGGCCCAGAAAAAAAAAATCAAACAGTAGTCATGGATAATATGATCCACAGGCATAAAACTAATAATGTGATATGATATGATATGATTTGGTCCGGGCATCGAACACAATCGCGCCCAAAATAGACGAGCGGGGCGGATCTCGACCATGCCATGCAGCAAAGCAAACCAGACCAGACCAGACCCTCTAGTCTAGTCTCAGTAGTTAGGCTAAAGTTCACAGACAAGTTGTCTCGCTTCCTGACCTCATGTGGTCCAAGTTCTGGTCCCGGAGATCTGCCCACGGAGGTAGTGCCTTTGGGTTACTACTGTGGAGGCGCTCAAGGCTGGCTCTGGCTCTTCGATGATTCTGACATCGTTCCAGAGAGAGGCAAAGAGAGACGATTCATCCTGAAGCATCAAACATCTAGTCTAGGCCTTTCTCTTCGAAGACAGCCTACCCTCTCTCGCTCTTTGCCCCATTCGTTTTCCCCTGTCCGCTCGTTTCCGTGTTTTCATCCTTGCCTAGTGGGCTTCTTTTCCTGAGGCTGAGGCCGATTCTTCTCGTTTCTCCTTGATTGATTTTTTCCCCTTTTATTTTTTTTTCTTTATACCCTTGTTCTGACGAGATCTGGTCCGTCTGGTCCCCTGGTATCATCTGCATCCAATCGCTTCAATAGTTACCTTCCCGTGTAGATCAAGCGAGTCATCCTACCCTCTTTTCCTGACCCAGCTGGATAGTGCGGACCGCTACCAGGTGGTGCTTGTTCTGCCCTTGAAGTATAAAACTCTTCCTTCGTTTCTCAATCTGTCCGAGTTTATCCAGTTCATCCACGTTCGTTGAGCAAATCCGAGCAATCATTCTTTTCCAAGTGCGATCAACATTGTCGAAGGATTTCCATTAGCCTATCGTTCTCGGCGTGATCTTCAACTTGGCGATCAACTCGATCAAGTCGATCAACTTGATCAACATATCAATGGACAGCTACCAGCAATCCGACGCAAGCACTCCGGTGGAGCCTTGCTCCCCAGGCTGCGTGGACACGCCCGCAACGCAATCGTCCGTCTTGTTTGATGGTCATCTGGACGATCTTCTGCGCCACTTCCCTCTCGACCAGTACATCCTTGTCACTGGCGGCCTCGGCTTCATTGGCAGTCACACAACATTGGAACTGCTCAAGGCCAGTTATAATGTGATTGTGATCGACAATCTCAGCAACTCCTTTCAGATCGTCTTCGACCGCATCAAGCTGTTAGCGTCCCAATACCATGAGCAGCAGGGGACCAAGATGCCGTCGCTGCACCTGCATGCGCACGACTATCGTGACACTGCTGCTCTCAAGGAACTTCTAGAACAGCACCAGACTCAGACCCGATGGGGTACGACCAAATCTAAGATCTCCGGTGTCATCCACTTCGCTGCCTACAAGGCAGTGGAGGAGAGCATCCGCAACCCGCTCAAGTACTATGCCAACAACGTCAGCGGCCTCATCGACTTTGCCACGACCCTGGGTGACTATGGCATCAAGACTTTTATCTTCTCCTCGTCGGCCACAGTGTACGGCACCTTGGCAACCTCCGGTCTCCCCCTGAAGGAAGAGCTCTGCACTCACAAGGAGGAGACCTATTCCGACCACGACGGCAGTGAACGCATTGTCCAGCCCGGCTGTACAGGCATCACCAACCCCTATGGCCGTACCAAATGGATCTGCGAGGCCATCCTGGCGGACCTCGCCGCCTCCGACCCGGAATGGACCATCGTAGCTCTGCGGTACTTCAACCCCATCGGATGTGACGAGTCCGGCCTCCTCGGAGAAGACCCCAGACAGACTCCCACAAACTTACTTCCTGTCGTCGTCAAAGTCATGACAGGCGAGTACAAGGAGTTGCAGATGTTCGGAACTGACTGGGATACTGAGGACGGGACCGCCGTCCGGGACTTCATCCACGTCACCGACCTTGCGCGCGGCCACATCGCGGCTCTCAGCGCAGCCAACGAAGGCAAACTGGCCGAGAACTTCCGCACGTTCAACCTGGGAACCGGTCGTGGACACTCCGTCAAGGAAGTCGTCGAGACCATGGAGGATGTTTCCTCCAGGCACATCCCCCGAAGGGCGGCTGATCGCCGCGCGGGGGATGTAGGCTCCTGCGTCGCCGTGGCCACAAGGTCACAGCAGGAGCTCAACTGGAAGACGGAAAAGTCACTCAAGGATGCTTGTGTGAGCTTGTGCAATTTCCTGGAAGTCAGTGGGTTGTCTACTTAGTTATGTCGTTGCATGTCACTTTTCATTTTGGTATGGCGTTGGTGGACTTTCTATATCCTTGTCCTTAATCATTTCTGTCTTGTCCTCATTTCGAGCATTGGGGGCTTTGAAAATCTGCTTGACTTGTTTCTTTCTTGGTTGCATCATTAGAAAAGCATTCTCAGGTTATAATATTGAGCGACATGTTTGGACTTGGAGATGAACATAATATACGCAAGTTGCCACAGTTTGGCCTTTGAGAGTTTTGGAGAATGCTGTTTGTTCAGGAGAGAAATAAGCAGTCTGTAGATGTAGACTAGCTGTCGAGTATCCCCTCACCTGGCCCCAGCGTGGTATCCATGCACCCGATCTGATTGGTTGGTTAGACGAAGATCATCAGTTTCTTGTTCAGCTTCTATACAACAAGATACTGAGCATGAGCACAATCCTACAACAATGTCTTTATTCCATAATACTTAGCAGATGCTGTACACATTGCTTGCTTATTTTGGCGGTAAACCCTCACTACTTTGATGCGTTTAGGTAAATTGGCAACGAAGACTACACAACTACAGCTTAACCAAACCAAATATATACAATGGACCTTGCTTATGGCTTTGTGATACAACAGCGATCTAGGCTGAAAATCACCATTTTGCAGTGTAGTTTTATATAAGTATTAAGCTTCAATGAAATTTATAGAGCAGCAATGAGGTAACAGACCAGCATCACCTAAACCAAGCAATCTATAGACCAGACCAGACCTAAACATATGAAAACCGACCACGCCAACCCCATCACCACCACAGCCTTCCACAGACTCCCCCTCATCGCCGCCGCCCCAGAGCACCCAAAGTAATTAATCTCCTGCGATTGCGCAAGGCAATCATGTAATTGTGCCTTGGTACTCTCTGTAGCATTGCAATATGCGGCACAGGTCTCCTGCCCAAAGTAGCCTATCGTCCCGTTTACTTCGTGGCAGCAGTCTCCCAGGGTCGTGTAGGTGTCTTGTGTGGCGTTCCAGTGCTGGTGGATCGGGACGCCGCAGGTGTTGGGGTAGGTGAGTTCCGGGAGGCCGGTGAGGTTTGAGCAGCGAGAGGGCCGATTGATGCCATTGTTGTGGTTTGTTGATGTTAGCAATGCGCCTGTTATTTTGTTTTCCGTTGAATGTTAGTAGGTGTATGTACTTAGTGGAAGAAGAGCCTACCGATGGTCAGTCGAAGTGCAGGATAGATGTTGATTAGGAGAATTGTCAAGAGGTTAACGAGTAGGTGTCTGTAGCTGAAGGAAAACAAGAAGAAATCTTACAGAGATCTAACATGAGAACATATTCAGTTAGGTTACATCGCCCTGTAGACTTAATCACTAGAGATAGTTTCCCATGTTAAAGTCTTGCCTTGTCTTGCCTGATTGAGTTAGTGGTGGTAGTTACTCGTTAGCCATGCGGATGGCTCGCAGGGTGGCTGTAGCATTTAGTTTAGTTGGAGTCCGAGTTTGATCTCAATTATTGTCTATTCCTAGGTCCTTATCAGCAGTAGTTGATAGAACATAGAACGAGCATGCGCAGCGCATGATCAACAGAGGTGGCTGTTTCAAGCTTTTTTTTATCTATAAGCTTATTGATGCCAGGGACCAGCATCATAACTGGTAACTATATACTATACCACAATCACATGTTTATCGATATATGCATCATACACTAGCCTCTTGAATAACTCTGCAGCCTGCTAGTGAATACATTAAGCTTGAATCCTCCTACCTAACATTTCAGCATAGGCAGGCTTGGCTGCTTAGCCCAAAAGATAACATGGTATTGTACCCTTGGCATTTAGAAGATAGCTCCTTTGCATGAACATGTTTACCTCACCCTACCTACTAGGCTACTACTTTGGCTCATTTCCAACCCTCCAGCGCTGGCGCTGAGCGCTATTACCAGAAGCATGGATTCCCCCACGATTATGACCTGCTATGGCAGATCTTGGGATTATATCTCTTCATTTACTCCTTCCAGCTAGCTAATTAGCAGGGATATAAGAATATGTCCCTGTGCCGATGAATGTCCCTGAGGTGATGAAGTACAGTACGTCATATTTGATCGCCATAAGCTTTGAAATTGATCAGACAGTCTAACTCAAGTCCACTCACAGTTTTAACTACACAGTGTTTCCCATCATGCTATCTCACTGCAGACCTTGATCCCAGTGGTGCTGGAACCCTCACCGTCGGGCCAAACAATGTGTTCACGAGAACCCCAAACACTCAGGAGGTATCAAGTGCATGAAAGTCTATGACCAAGATGAATCATATGTGATTTGCGATGAGGTTCCCCTGCCGGCTCTCTCTAGTTGGCTCCTCTCATGACGTGAGATGATGGTGGTTGTTTCATGCAGACAGTTAGTAGCAGGACTCTCCAGAGTGCAGCAGAAGCCCTCTACTTTAACGAGGATTCCTTCCCGACTGGTAACCATTTCTCCGATGCCGAGCTTGAGACCGCAAATCTTACTACGTTCGACCCCGGGAAACCCTGGAGGAACGGCAGTTCGGCCCCTGCTCCCAGTGCCAGCAAAAGTCCATGAAGTTCGGCGACGGGAACCCTCACCAGAACTACTGGCGCAAGCAGCTCAGCGTAAGGTGTGAGATGTTTTCCCACTACCAATGAGTCAATGACTGACAGGTACCCAGGAAAACATGAACTGCGGCAGTGCACAATCCTACTTAGTGGAAGCCAGCAATCCAAATCATACACGCTAGACTGGACAGCGAGTGCGTCCGCGGCCGGTAGATTTCCGGCGGCTTCTCCGTGACAGAGAGCTGGACGACGGGCAATAAGTACTCGTGCAATGCCGGCCCTCATGAGACTATCTGTGCTGGTACGCAGATACCGTCCGGAACACCATGTGGAACAGATGTCGGGCTATGCGCCTGAGAGCCGTGGGCTTGACTATGTTATGTTCTCTTCAATATCGACAATAAGGGCGGTAACTACTACTGCGTTGTTGGGACTTGCCGGAGCTAGGGAGAACTACTGGGATAAGAGTGGCCCTGCCGGTGGACCATGATCCGTCTCAGAAAGTTACAACATGATAGGTTAGCAGGAAATTGAGAAGAAGGCGACGGAGTCGGAGTATGTACAAATTGGGATCTGGTGTTTACCAGGAAGAGGCCCTTCTATTTAGGATAGAGAACAAGGGATTAGCTTTGTTATTAGAATGAAAATAAGTGAAAGCGCCTCAGGGATAGAGAATCCGCCCAGTGGGAACCTGTACAGCATGTATTTCGAAGTTACCTTTGCAATATGAAAGATACTTTGAATACCGACCTTTTCATGATCCCAGGTAACCTTGTCACCTCCGTCATTTGCAGACTGCTTTAGCTGTTCAGCTCATAAATGTCTATGCGTAAGAAATTGCTCATCTTCAGTAGACCGCTAAACTGCTGAGTCAAGAGAATCCGGTCTCCACGGAGAAGCACAACTATCTGAATATCATACAATGCTCATGTGTCATGTATTCCAGAAGTTGAAGTTGCTTATTAGGCAGTTTAATCTTGGGAGAGCAGAACCTAAGGCATTAAGGCATAAACAGTCTGCTGTATGTCAAATCACGTGTCACTACCTCCGGCTTGGCATCAAATTCATTCCGCAGTTTTCGGATACGGCTTCATATCAATCCACCTCAAGACGAATTATTCAAATCCACGGCATTTCACCTGCCGTGAGTCCGTGAGTCCGTGAAGGGTTATATATCTGCCTATCCCTTCTACAGAGAGTGGAACACAAACAAAATGATCTGCCGCCGGTGCCGAACCAGCATCCTCTCCCAACTCCAACCCCAACCCACAGTGTCATGGACCGCTTCAGCATCATCATGCACTCGCCAGCTCCCCATCCACCGCAGCCAATTCCGATCCTACAGTGACGGCAAACCCACTGTATTCGCCTCACCTCCCCCGCCTACTCCCCGCCAGCCCGTCGCCGCCGACATCACCATCCCCTCGGCCATCTCGTCCGCAACCCCCGGCGTGTCGCAGCCGCTGAGCACCCCCGAAGAAAGCGTCCACGTGGACGTCAACCCCGAGAAGCCGGCGCCGGCGGCCGTCAAGCCTGCCGCTGAGCGGACACCTAGCATTGCGCCTGCGGGGACGAAGCTGAATGGGCTGAATTACTTCAAGAATAAGCCGGATGTGTTTGCGTTGGAGGACTCGGAGTATCCCGATTGGTTGTGGGGGTTGTTGGAGGATGGGTCGAAGGCGAAGAAGGAGGGAGGGGTGGACCCCAGCAGTACGTTCTTTGTTTTTTTCTTCCTCCATTGCTTTTGCCTTTGGGGATGGTTTGATGAGGGTGTGCTAATGGTGACACTTCCCAGCTCTGAATAAGAAACAGCGGAAACGCTACGAGAAGAAAATGGCTGCGAGGGCGGCGACGCTGCCGCCTCAGATCCCGGTTCATCATCATGCTACGGATATCACGCCTGCGGAGTATAACCGTGAACGGGCGGAAGATGTTCTTGCGTTGGCGGCCGAGAGCATTGAGAAGCGGACGGAAATTACGAAGAGCGCGAGAGATGCTCGGAGGAAGGCGATTAGGGAGGCGAACTTCCTGCGGGGGCTGTGAGTGGTTTCGACTGGTTGACGGGGCAGGTCATGCCATGGTGATTTAGAGGATATGTACGATGCGTTGCTGCGGATGGTATAGAGTGTCTGGTCTGGCAACGTGCTAAGTGTATTTTTATCTCACTGTTCATCCCTGATAGGCGATAGGGCGCTGAATGGGACATTGTTTCTGCTGCAAGCTTGCACTATTTGATTCTACGCTAATGGGTATATGAATGTTCTCCCCGGGCATGCACCCTACCCCGGCTATTTACAGTACAGCTAGACATCTACTTGGCAACCGGCCAGTCCTTCTCCTCACCCTGTCCCTCCACCCATGGGACACAAGCCTCCCAGAGAGCCTTCAACTCCCCCTGACCAACATCCAGCAACGCCCGCCAAAGCTCCTTATCGGCCCTCTCCGACCACGCCAGGAACGAAACCACAATGAAATCCGCATACCCGGCCTTCTCCCCCTCAAAGAAGGGCCCCGTCTTCCCCAGCCGCCCCCGCAGCATCTGCGCCAGTCCCTCCATCTCCTTCTTGATCTCGTCCGTCGCCTCCTTCACCCGCTGGGGATCCCTCGGCCGCACCTCGGACAGCGGCTTGCCAAACAACGCGGACCGCGTCTTGATGAAGTACTCTCTCCCCTTGTCATCAAGGAACTTGGCGACATTGGGAACGATGAGAGGGCGGGCCTTGTCGACCGCCCTGGTTATGAGCTTGCTGACTGCGATGGTGAGGGCGTAGCTTGCGTCGCCGGAGGGGAAGAGCGACGGGGTGGGATAGTGCTGGTCCAAATGGCAGGCGATGGCGAACGAGTCCATAAGGGTGCCGGTGGGGTTGGACGTGACGGTCGGCTTGTGGTTGATTGCGGGAAGGGTGTAGGGCATTCCGTGTGGGTTGGTGGGTACGGCGAGCGAGGAGAGGAGGGGTGCGATGTCCGGGTAGGAGACCCAGCTTTGGGTGTAGGGGATGCGCTTGTAGTTTAGGACCATTCGGGTTTTGATGGTGTTGGGGGACCATGATTTTGAGGAACCTGTACATTGGGTTAACACTTAGCAGGGGTGGACAAGGGTTTGGACGTTTCGTACCAGGGAGGGTCGACGTGATGTCGAAGAAATGGACAGGTGATTCGCTTGCCATTGCGGTATGAGGTCGTACTTGTGTGCTTGAGATGTTTCGTAGCAGGTTCAGCGCTCTTGGAGGCTTCATTGTCGCTTCTGAGTCTCGAGTCTGACGGCGGGAGCGGGGCCGCGGCAGTGATTTATCAGCAGTTGGTGCGGAGAGTCAGTCCCACGGTATCTTTGGTCCATTGTCATGGTAGTTTCCAGTACCTGATATTCTGGTTACCACGCGGATGACATGCCAGTCTCCATGAATACTTTACCATGGGTGGATTTGAGGCTTTTGTGACTACCTACCGCTGTACCTTAGTGTGCTATACTTCTTGCGATGCAGCGAGATCAGCTTACGGCCTGAGGCCCTGGCCCTGACTACCTCATACCATTTCGAAAGGCGTAGTTGTACAGATACAGCAACTGTCAACAATATCATCGAGAGTGTAAATTCTCTGTCATAATCATGATCAATGCAATGGCTCATAGGAGAGAAACAGAGAAGCTGAGAGCGTGTGCGCTCACCGCTGCTCAGACTGCTCCCCACTTTGACCGGAGGCGATGGAGATTGAACCTGGTAAAAGGCATGGTATGAAGGACAGACAGTTGAACGTCTTATTGTCCTTAGAAGAGTCAGTCAAATCAAGCAGTACCTCTCTAGACGGTCTTCTCAGTGAAGAAAATGTCGTAGTGATCGCCGTTGCTTATCGGTCTCTGAATGATTGCAGATTACCCCGCGTCGTCGATAAACATCAACTCATCTCATTTTAGGTATCTGCAGTCAACCATACTCTCTGTATCTTTCCTAGACTATTTCAAGGTCCAAAAGTTGATCATCACCATAATGGATAGACTCGGTCCAGTCAATCTTCACGGTGGCTCAGCCCAGAACAGCCAAGTCCACGCCGAGTGGAGCAAACAGACAGCGTCGAAACGAGCCAACTCAGCACCATCCTCCCGTTTTTCTCTTTCGACGTTGTGATTTGAACTTCTATTCTTTGTGGTGATCTCTGCCATCCCCTGTGTCCTGATCGCTGTAGCCGACTCGAGCTGTTTGCGATTGTCCTTTTCAGCTGCTGTGTCACATTCCATCCACCGGACACTGATCACCAGACAATCATACTGGAGCGCAAGGCCAGCGGTGGGTCGAATCTGCACACCACGGAGTTGCATCGTCAAATCGATCAATACATACTTGAGAATGGAAACGATGGAAGAGCTTACTGGTCGTGCTGCTACCATTTCTCTCGAGTCAGCAAAACCCGCTCGGTCAATCCAAGCGCAGCCTGGCCCTTTGTCCTCCCATCTGGACAAGATCTATGCGTCCTTGACTTCCACCTCGACCGCTGATTTTATCAAGGATGTACAAAAAGAAGAGATCGCCGGTAGCGTTGAGGCCGGAAATCCTCTCGCGTCCTTGGCAGCATTCCGTGCATACATGGCCAGTCCAGCATCTGATGCATTGTGTCCGGCCAAAGGTGAGGATTTGTCGGCACCGATAACAGATTACTACGTCTCGTCCAGTCACAACACCTATTTGACGGGGAATCAGCTGTACAGCGATGCTGCAGCGGCCGCATATACCAACGTATGTCTCACCTGACCTTCTGATGTGTCGGCCTTGATGTGGGCTTTGAGGAGAACGATTGTGCATTGGTACTTACAGGCTTCTTCATGCGGGTTGATGTAATGCACTGTCAAATACTTCCCCTCTTCACTTGGGTCCGCCTGAACAATGGTTGTATCTTCACTGACTTTTACTAGGTACTTCTGAGTGGTTGTAGATGTGTTGAGATCGATGTTTGGGACGGAGATGCGGACGATGACAGCGTCTCTGGTGACGACACAAGCAGCAGCAGTAGTAGCGAGTCGAACTCTGACGAAGAAAATCCCAGTCGCCGTAAGAAGCAGGACGTACCAAAGACGGATGGTAGCACACAGTCTACCAAGGCAGCATCGCGGCGCAAGGGCCTCTCGTCCAAACTGGGAAGCCTACTGGGCCGCAAATCATCGCCTCCTAACGGAGCAACTGATAAACCTGCATCGACTGCTACCGCTGCTGCTGTAGATGCAGCGCAAACCCTGCGCCGTCCGGAGCCCCGTGTGCTCCACGGTCACACGCTGACCAAAGGAACCAAGTTCCGCGATGTTTGCTATGCGATTCGCGACAGCGCTTTTGTGGCAAGTGACCTGCCGGTCATCGTTAGTTTGGAGGTGCACACATGCATCGAGCAGCAGGCGACGATGGTGGAAATCATGGAGGAGGCGTTCAAGGGAATGTTGATCGAAGTCACGCCGGAGCTTGAAGCTACTCAGGCCCCGCCTCCTCTAGAGTCCTTGAAACGCAAGATTCTCATCAAGGTCAAATGGGTCCCAGCGACAGGCGACGGCCAAGCGGAGGCGCAGAAGGACGATCAGACCGACACGCTTGATACACCTCCCTCCGTAAATCAGGAGGGTCAACCTGCACCAGCCAAGCCGTCCAAGGTCCTGCACTCCCTGAGCAGGCTAGCGGTTTTTACCAAAGGGTTCTCCTTCCGCCAGTTCACCCAACCAGGTAAGCCATTGCACCGTAGAACCGGCTACTACTGTAACAGCGTGAGTAGATAGTGACTAGTAGTACTGACCTGACGAATCCAGAGGCCAAAGTACCCGGACACGTGTTCTCCCTCTCCGAAAGCGCCGCGCGAGAGGCCTACGCCAAAGACCGCGACGCCCTCCTCGAGCACAACCGCCACTTCTTCATGCGAGTCTACCCCTACGGACTGCGCGTCAACTCGTCCAACCCAGACCCAACCTTCTTCTGGCGCTGCGGCGCCCAGATCGTCGCCCTGAACTGGCAAAACCTCGACAAGGGCATGATGCTCAACCGCGGCATGTTCACCGGCGAGCCCGGCTGGGTCCTCAAGCCCCAGGGCTACCGCAGCTCCGATCCCCCCTCCACCCCCGTGAAGCGCCAACAGCTCGACCTCTCCATTGAGATTCTGGCCGGGCAGAACCTCCCCTTGCCCCCGGGTGATACCAAGGAATCCGGCTTCCGGCCCTACGTCAGCTGCTACCTGCATGTGGAGTGCCCAGACGAGGAGAACGGCTTCCCGCCGGGCGGCGACAACACCACCGACTCGGAGAAGACGAGCTACAAGCGCAGCATCAAGAGCGCTACAGGCAGGAACCCGGATTTCGGCGCGCAGATGATCCAGTTCCCGACTTTGCAGGGTGTCATTGAGGAGTTGACTTTTGTTAGGTACAATCCCATCCACCTCTACAAGTCTCACACATGTCTAATACAGATACAGATTCAAAGTCAAAGACGACGAGCTCGGCCGAGACTCCCTAGCCGCATGGGCATGTCTCAAACTCAGCCGTCTGCAGCAGGGCTATCGACTGATCCATCTCCATGACTGCTCCGGGGCAGAAGCCGGTGCTGTCCTGTTAGTCCGGATCACCAAGGTTCTCTCCTGAGTAGCCATTCGCCAAGTGCCGATTGGCCAGAACAAGCATTCATAGTTGAGTCCTGAGTGGTAGTAGTAGCAATGACGATGTATCCATATGCATATGCATCACCCTTCGACTGGGACTGAAACAGGCACATGAAAGTTTTACTCATCTTATCCAGACAGATCAATTCAAATCCTCAATTTAGACCAATTCGGCCTGCAATTGCACATGCTACATATGGGGTACTCAGCCCTCGGCCCTCGTCTAATTAACCTGTCACACAAGCTTCATGCAGGGTTCTACCTTGTTCGATGCTTCATCTAGAAAGACAAGAGGGGAACATTCTGAACCCCTCCACCCAAAAAAAAGGGATTATGCAAGTTGTTTGTCTCTACTCCGTACAGTCAGAGCACTTGGATAAATCAGCCGGAATACTCATGCTCATGCCATGCATGTGCATCAGCTCTGCGCGCATATGACCCGAGTAGACCATTCCAGCGTCGTTGACGATTAGCTGCAGCTACTTGCATTTGATTGCAACTATCCTTGACTTTAATAGTTCATTATTGATTCCATCCTTGAGTTCGAGCGCGTTCGTCCCAGTTGAACCTGCGGGCCAGCAATCAGGTAGACGTACAAACGCATTACGGAGTACTCGTAGAGTCTTGTGGAGTCACTATTCAGCAGAGCGCGTGGATTCTCCGTGATAAACATAGCAATGATCAGCGAAATAGACTATCCGGAGAGCTCTTACTCATAGTTCTTGATCGAATGATCTATCAAGTGTCAGGGGCTTAGAAAGTTTCATTACACCGCGATAGTCTGGCGGTGTGGATGAATATGACCATGTTCATCAGCCTGCAGAGACTGTCATTGCTCAAACCCCTCTCGAGAGACTTGGGGCAAGGAATGGAGGGGGAGGTTGCTGGGCCTATCACACAAGGTATATTGATTGCTGCTATATTTGATCTGGCAGGAGGTGGAAAAGTGACCTGTCAACGAGTAGGAATGTCGTTATGTGAATGGATCCTTAACTGGATGAGCGCTGAGGTATTGTGGAGTGACTAAGGATTAGGGGAAAGCCTCTGAGAGCCACACTCTTTGTAGTCAGCAGTCAATACAGTCATACACGCATGCCTGTTGCTGAGGAATTGCCTCAGAGAAATTCCTCATGCAAAATTCGTCGAGTATGGTATGTAAATCACTAAAAAGAAAGGGCGAAAAATAAGAAGATCATACCCAATGTCAATCTCCCAAACGACTCATGCGCTGTTGGAGACAAACTGGTCAGCTCAAGTTTTCAACAAATCACCACAAACCACAATCACGTAACGTTCAGGATTGGAACAGAAGAGCTCAAGGATGGCTGGAGAAAGGGAGACTTGACAGGTCAACTGCAGATGTGGGGCATCGTGCAGCAAAAGTGATGGATAAATCCCCAGACCTTGATAAGATTCACTGTCAACGCTAATGACCAGTCTAAATGGTTTGGGTTGATTAGCAACAAACTCAATGCTGGCTACCGCAGCCTATGGATGGTTTGTCCACAGTATTGGTTCCAGAAAAGGGGGGTTCGCAGCCTGCGAGAACAAGTCTCTTCACTCTTACTTGCGGAATCCTGAAACTCAGGGGTAGTGATAGATGATGCGCCTTTCAGGGTCTCCAGTCAGTCGACTGACAGTTGATCAATACTGTCGGATGCCGACACATTTCACACGTCAAAATCAATCATCCACATTCCTCTGGTCTTGATCTCAAGCAGCCGATGTGCAGGTCTATTAATCGTATAGCTGCTTCAATTTTATAGCCACTCGCATAGTGATGGATGCCTACCATCTGGGCGATGGATGACAGGAGTCACCAGACACGGCAACGGGGTCATTAACGTGCGCTACCAATGCACGGCGCACGCAGTGGCACCAAGATGGGGCCAGCTGTCAGTTGATTGCTACGGAGTTGTCGGAGTAGCTTTGGCGGACATCATAAGCTGCGCCCTCGAGTCGGTGGACCAGTGGGTCTGGCTGCCGACGAACAGGCGCTTGATGGGAAAAGGATGTCACTGATCAAATTTCAAGTCACATCCATCACAACTGAACATGCCCAGCGAAGCTGGTTTCCAGATCACAGCACTTACCACTTACCCCTGTAGATCCACAGTATCCATGTTGAGAAATTGGGATGGGTACTTGGAGTACTCCGTAAGAATCAATTGGATAGTACGGAGTATTGATGGAAGAAATTGCCAAATTGGGAACGAATGTTCGATGTATAACCGAATGCCAGTTGCATATCTGATATGCTATCCATCAGCCAGGCGCCAACGAGGGGCTTGATGATGACAATTCGCACGGTCCAGTAATATCACGCAGGACCCATATAAACTACTCCGTACTTGCCGTGAGTTCCAAGAGTCGGGAAATTGGAACCGTATCCGTGTTGTGGATATCGCGTTCAATGTACTAGTCCCGGTTCTCCGTTGAATACCTACTTTGGATTGATTGCTCTTAGCAACGTCATTTGCAACCAGTCACATAATAAAGTTATAGTGATGTGCAATATGCGGTGAAGTGTGTATGGAGCATTCTGGATAGATAATGCAAACTTCGTGTTGCTTAAACGGCCTGTGACCCATTACATGGGTATCATTCTGCTTGATCTCCATTCTTTTAGCGGATCCAGAGGTTCGGGTGACTTCGAGTCATTTTGGACTCTCTGCATACGTATCTTGCATGTAGAATGTAAAGCTGGACGCTAGCAAACAATCATATTTCATTAGTTGAATGCACGACGCTTGTCATAGACGGGATCACCCGAGGTTTCCAGGGCATAAGCTTGATTTTCGACAAGATGTGGTGTTTGCGTCCTTGCGAGAATCATTCTCCTCTTTGGATGCATTGAATCCACCTGTGTCTAGTGTTAAATCGGTCCAATCTGGACTGGAGATCTCCCGATGGAGATTTCGAATCCTCAGCCTCTTAGGGGTCGTCGGGTCAGTCACTTACTCTCCAGACTATATAAGCAGGATCGACCTAGTTTTCAGGTCCGGTTCATTCAACCACAAGTCCTTTCTTATCCATATCCACGGGAAAGTTTGTTTGATTGAAACTTTAAAGTCGAACTCTCCCCATTCCTAAAATTGCAAGACCACACGTTTCCTGAGAGGCACGACACACTTTGTAAGCAAGCGCCTGAGCAAATCTAGCCACAATGACGGTATGAATTGAGCGACGAGTCATAATTCCTTGTTTGCGATGGCTGATTGTCGTTACTCGGCCAGATGCCTGGTGTTCGCTGTCCATCTTGCCAGGGACAGGGAAAAGAGACTTGGGTAATACCAGGGAAGAACTGCCATGTCTGTGGCACGCCATGTTGATCGACCTCCGTGAGACAATAGCCCTCTGAAAGGATGAAAGGAATTCAAAGATCTAACGTTGTGTTAGATTCTTCATCAAGACTTTTTCCACCAAGCTCCAGGAAATTCAGAAACTCCCTGGGGAAAGGAGGAAATCCCTACCTTCCAAATCGAATTATAGAAGGTCCCTCGGTGACCCTCGAATCTTCTGGCTGTCCACGAGAAATGTAGGACGGCAGGTATCTGAGGCAAATTCCGGGAAAGCAAGAGACATGATCTCCAGGCTTGGGCCAACGGTCGTCCAAGGCAATTGGGAGATGTTTGACGGGGGCTGCATTGTACGATATTGAGAAAATCTTGGACGGTGAGAGATGAAGAGAGGATCAAAAAGGACTACTTGTATGATAGAATGATGGATGCTAATCACGAAACCTCGCACAAATGAAAGCAGAGGTTAAGGACAACAGCACCTACCTCTTTGCTGTATGCTTGCTTGCTCGTTGCCTTGAAATCAAGGCACTGTTTTCTCTCCTGCTGCTTCCAGACTCGCGCCTCTTTTCTTGACTCTCTCTTTCAACCATTCGTTGCCTTCATCCTTCTTAACTTTTGAATCAAATATGACTTACGAGTGATTTCCTGTCGTCTCCTACTTGATTGAAGCGGAATATTCGCTTAAATCCAGTCCACGACCAAAAGACGCTACAGTTACTATATCATTGAAATAATTCCTGTTTTGTCTGGTGCTGGGGACAAACTACTGCCAGACAGGTATCTACGGGTGGAGACGACAGATCAAATGAAGAGACAATAAAATTGAGCCTCAGACATATGGAAGGGCTGCAGCCCAGAGAGGTTGTGTCTCAAGCTGCCAATCGACCGTGACATGATACAGGGGCACGTGAAATGCGAGGGCTATCGTTGGAGCGGTTGGCAATTCTACGATCTTCTTCATATATTCAGCCATTGTCCATCGACGTCATCAACAAATAGTCCCCCGCCATCGTATTGCACGCTCAACCTTATAATCCCTGGAACAAACTAGTCCTTCTCGACAACATCTGATTGCTTTGCTGCAGAGGAAAACTCAACAGATCATGACACAAATATACCCCATCAAAAGTCGTAGGGACGATGAACGTCTAGTCCGCGAGTGGGGCTTCAAACACGTCTTTACCTGGACTGATGGAAGGTACTACCGGCTTATACATTTGCATTTTCTTCTTGGAATTGAGATGTATTGCAATACCTTCGGAGTTGTTTACTGATTCTTTGAATAGCAACGCTTACTACCCCCCACATAGTCATAGCGGCTTGACGACGCATCTCATCCGACGGGGCAGTCTTACCATCACATATCCGGACGATAACTCCAAATTGCACAATGGAGAAGTGAAGAAAGAGACGTTTGGAGTGGGCGCGAGAATCGATGTGCCCGCTGGTAAGTTACATGAGGTGTGGATTGGAGAGGATGGCTGCGAATATGTTATCGGGGAGTAGACTTTCGATCAGCTTTTGATGGATCTCTACATGATCATCAGCATTACACGAGACCGTGAACTTTTTCTATTGAGGTATTTCTGAGATATTTCAGGCCGTCATGGAGGGTCCAAGGTCTATCCAAGAAGCCACAGCACTCCAACACAAGCCAGCAGGACCTCTTCCATTCCCAGCACCTAGTACACGAATCTAAAGTCGAGTCTGTCGAAATGTCAGCTCAGTCGGAAAAGCGATCTCTTGTACCAGACAAACCTTTTATTCCCCAGATCCTTATTCGCAGAAAGATACTCCTCCCTTTCCGCGCTAGACATGGCGTTCCACTTTTGTGTTTTTGTTCTATCGACACAAATTAATATCTGAAGCCATCATATGAAACATGAAAAAGAAACGTACTTGTTCCGCCATTCATAGTAGAACCGAGCCACAACGAAGAGAACCAAGCTGTATACCGACAAAGCAATGAGCACCTTGTTTCCGGTCCGGTAGTACGGTTTATCGTTTTCGCGATAGATCTGAGCATTGTTAATAGGATATAGACACTCGTGTCTGACCCAGCCGGGCACCTACATTGTTGGCAATGATATTCGAGGTCTGCACCATCATGTTATACAGCGCGCTGGAAACCGTTCGTGTCCGCACTGTTCCTGCGTTCCTCGAAGTCATGGCCACAATAATCGCATGGATATACGGTGCCCCAAGGAGAAGTATCAAAATGACCCATCGGGCCCAGGGGCTGGCTTCAGCGGGTAACACCTCCAGGGCAATCAGCAGAACCAGGCACCAGACTTCCGCCACGACACCCAAAAGGAACCGAACATTGAACCGCTCCGAGATCCAAGTCCAGAAGAGCAGGTTGACGATGAAGATCGCGTACGCGGGGATAGTCAGGAGATTGGTCTCGAAGGTCTTGAACCCCAACGACTTGAGCTGCAGCGTGATGTAGCTCGTCGCCGGCGTGTTGGGGATCAGCCACGTCAGACCGAGAAGGTAGATGATCCACATGTCGTAGTCGCCGAGCGCCTGCCAGAGCATCTTGGGGGTGACGGCTTGCCGATTATGCATGCCGCCTTTGCTGGGGTCGTCGCGCAGGACTCTGTTCACGAGGATCTTTTCCTCGTGCTCGTTGAACCACCCATTCTTTCCGCGGAAGCCGCCTTTCGTCTGTGTCGGGGACGCAGGCATCCAGAATGCGGCGATGATGCCGATAATGCCTGTGATGAGGCCTTCGAAGGCGAAGAGGTAGCGCCAGCCGCCTTTGCCGTCGCCGTCGTGGATGTGGAGAAAGCCGAAGGCGAGGAATGCGCCTACGATGGCGGTGGCTTCGTACGAGACCCAGAAGTAGCTCAGGCGGATGGGCAGTTCCTTGGACTTGTACCAGAAGGAGAGGAAGAGAATGGTGTCGGGGATGCTGCGAGGGTTAACGTCAAATCTATGGGACCAGTAGCTTGGAGCTCGACTTACAATCCGCCCTCGAATAATCCGAGAAGCGCTCGGCAAGCGAAATACCCGCCCTTGCCCTTGATAAAAGACTGGAAAGCGGCGATCAAACTCCAACAGACCATCTGGATGGGGATCCAGCGATCCGGCCCGAGTGCCTTGGAGATGAGCTGCGAGGGCAGCTCCGCGAACAGGAAACAGAGGAAGAAGATCGTCTGTCCGGTGTTGTAGTCATTTGTGTTCATACCAAGGTCGCCCAGCATATTGTCCGACAGTGCCTGGACGATATTGCCTCGATCCAGCTGGAGCGCGAAGAACGTCACACATGCGAATGTGCAGACGCGCAGGTCAATCTGCCTCGTCAGTATTGTTTGTAAAAACTAAACTGAGTTTGGAGTACCTTTCTTATCAGTCTCTTCTCCTCTTCTTCAGTCCACTCGAAATCTGGATCCCAGCGATGGATACCTTCATAGGTCGGGATTGGCTTGTAATACCGTGGATCTTCAGATGTATCAAATGCAGCATCTGCATCCCTGTACCGTCGAGGCTCATCACTTGACAATGAAGATGTAGACGCCTCTCCTGCGATGGATTTCGGGAACGCCTTGGTGTCATATCCCTCCAGAGCAGACGCTCCTTTTACTTCGTCTGCGGCCATTTTGCGGTTGCAGACAGAGCTTTTCCGATGGACTGGGCTGTCTGTGTGTCATTCTGTAAGATATCAGCCGGAGACGAGCGATATAAACGGTCATTTTGCCGTATACTGATAGCATCTGAAGATCCATCACGCAATCTACGGCTTTGAATAGGTCAGTATGGATCCAAGCGGTGTCACTCCCGACAAAGATAGATATCTATATGAAGAATGGAAAATACCCGAGATAAGAAGAATCCACCTGCCCCAAGAGGCAAAGATGAAGGTCGCATTCAGGTGGGTTCAAGGCTACAAGTGAGTGCAAGCCCCGGCCAAAAGCCCAACAGAACCTGTCAAGGGCTGCAGTCGCACTTGGTAGTATGGTCTAGTTCACATCACGCAAAGCATATAAGATTGACGTTATAGAAGACGAGTCATGTCATCCAAGACGTGCGGGGACATCAAGAAGTGTCGAATGTGGATCTTTCTTGTGGAGACTCCCACGGCATTGACTTGATTCATGCAGTGCTTGCACCCAATAAGGCTGATGGCGAATGAGTTAGAGTTGTCCTGCAATAGTGATAGACGATGGTGCTATCATACGCCAATCGCCATTGTTGTGGTAACCATTGTCTAGACTCCATCTGAAATCACCAGAGAGGAGTCTCTGCCTTTGGCGAGTTTTGCGTTTTTGGGTCTCATTCGAAACGTTCTGATGAGATTCACCAGGACGAGCAAGGCATATTGCCAGCCGACCACATTGGAAGCAGCAATCCGAGATATGAGCTGATCAAAATCTCCAGCTCTGAAATAAAGAGGAGAAAATCTCGCCCTGTTTCCTTCTGGTGAAGTTGACGTTGTATACGCGTTGCGCGACTCACCACCGCAATCACGTCATACTTGGCCACAAACAGCAACAACAGTCCGACAGGACTTCTCTTATCAACATTGCGACTTGATTTTGAAGGTCTGTCAGAATGATTGACTCCACGCAGTCACAGTACTCGTGAAGTGATAAGCTGGTTCTATTCGGCGGGGCAGATAACCAATCCGGATGCAAACAGCACTCGCCATGCCCATCCTGTCCTCGAGCGCTCCAAACTGCCTGACCTCTGAAGATGCCGACCTCTATCTACCCCGCGTGGAGGAAGTCCATGGTCGAATTGCATGATAGATACGACATATCAGAGCATTCCCCGCAGTGATTGCGCGAGCACAGATCGGGTATTCGGCAGGAGAGTACGGGTATATCTGGAGAGGTATCTCAGCTTGTATGACTTGTTCTACGCAGACTGCAATCGAGTCAAGAATACCTCAAAATGGCCCCTTCACTTGTTGAGAACGTTGCTCTTCGCACTGCCCCGGTCACCAAGCTCAAGACTGACGCAGGATTCAACAAGGAGAATGTGATAGGCTATGGCGAGGTCTACAGCCATGAAAACGAGGTGAAAGGCACAGAGAAACAGCCTCCTGCCTCGTTCCCTCACTATCTTCCCGTGTGGGACAACGAAACGGAGAGGTAGGCGGACATTATTCTTCAACTTCTAAACTCAAGTCATATCCACTGATACCATTAGATATCCACCACTGACACCGTTTGAACACTATGACCACGGCAAAGACGCTGATCCATCCTTTCCTGACCTTCTGCCTCAGGGTAAAGTCCAGGTGGACAATCTCACACCAACCATTGGCAGTGAAGTCCGCGGCGTCCAGCTGAGCCAGCTGACGAAAGAAGGAAAGGACCAGCTGGCCCTCTACGTAGCTCAAAGAAAAGTCGTCGGTACGTGACAGATGCCAGCCTCATTGATCACTGCTGATGGTATCCTCAGCCTTCCGTGACCAGGACTTTGCCCATCTTCCCATTGAGAAAGCCCTGGAGTTTGGTGGCTACTTCGGCCGACACCATATCCATCAAACCTCCGGAGCCCCCAAAGGCTATCCGGAGATCCACCTTGTGCATCGCGGCGCGGACGACCGGAGTGGTGCCGAGTTTCTGGCCACACGGACAAACACCGTGACCTGGCATTCGGACGTGACCTTCGAGAAGCAGCCTCCGGGGACGACCTTCTTGTATCTTCTGGATGGCCCGACCAGCGGAGGTGATACTCTCTTCGCAGACATGGCGCAGGCATACAGACGGTTGTCACCTGAGTTCCGTAAGCGGCTGCACGGTCTGAAGGCGGTGCACTCTGGTATCGAGCAGATCAACAATAGTTTGAACCGAGGGGGGATAGCTCGACGCGAGGGGATCACGTCTGAGCATCCGATTGTCAGAACTCATCCTGTAAGTTGACCAACTTCAGCAGGCTGGTGATATGTGATTGATGTCGTTTAGGTTACTGGAGAGAAAGCCCTGTTTGTCAATCCACAATGTGAGTATTCTCTTGAGCAAAGACAGAGTATCTTCTAACTGTGCAGTTACCCGTTACATTGTGGGATACAAGAAGGAAGAGTCGGACTGGCTTCTCAAGTTCTTGTATGATCATATCGCGCTCTCGCAGGATCTACAGACCCGTGTCCGATGGCTTCCTGGAACAGTAGTCGTTTGGGATGTGAGTATACTTATCCTGCATTCCGGAAAGTACTAACGATAATAGAACCGTGTCGTCGCACACTCGGCTCTCTTTGACTGGGAAGATGGACAGAGGCGTCATCTGGCAAGGATCACTCCTCAGGCAGAGCCACCGTTTGAGACGCCATTTGAGGGTAGTCAATAGACGAACTCCAACGAATTGCTGATTTGTATCGAGTGCTATTGAGAGATAACAATGATCATATACATCCATTCATCACTGACCTACTTGTAGTATCTCATGGAATGAGGAGACCACGTAGTTCCGGTCATAATCATGCAGTCCACATATCCATGCACCTCGTATATCCCACGCCGTTCAGCAGTCCATCCCCTTCAATATAACCGTTTCCCGCTTGGTCATCTGATTTCCCGGCGAGGTACCTGCCAGAAATCATGTCAATCTCTCTCGAGCAAAAGCCGGGCACGAACAACAACTTACTCAATTCTTCCCAGCAGGACCCTTACCCTTACCCTTCGCACCAAAGCCAAAGAAACTCTTCTTAGAGCCACCCTCCTTCGCAGAACCAAAGATCCCCATTTTCGAACCACCCGCCTCAGCAGAACCAGAGCCAGAGATACCACCATTCTTAAACCCATTCTCACGATTCCGGCCCGTCGCACCAGTGGAAAAGTCCTTTTCCTCAGGCGTCAGGATAGATATATCCTCGACATGCTGCCAAGCGAGACCCTCCTCGTCGTCACTTTCCATGAATGCGGCGCCTTGGATGCAGTTTCTCTGGCCGGTGCTGTCTAGACAAACACAGGCACATTGGCTTCCCCAGGGTCTTGGGGTGTTGTTATTGTTATTGCTAGGGGGCATGATGAGGTTGGTTGGTTTTGAGGGAGCTTTGGATGTTAGTATTTCATTAGTAGATTTGTAGGGAGGTAAGGCTTACTTACAGGTAAGTAGATAGCAAAGCTTTGATTTGACTTGGAGTAGAGTAGATGGAAGTGTAGTGATGGTTAAGAGTTGAGAGGTGTGATCTCGCGAGATTTTATACGCGAGGTAGAAGCAGACCAGTGAATATCAATGATACACCAGTAAACAGGGAAACGTATCCCATTCACTCTCACTTTCACTGAGGCCAGCTATATACAATATATTCACATCACCTCTCAAACTGATGCAAAGCCCCAACCTTCCACTCCCGAAACGCCCTCGCAGAAGCCGGCAGCATCTTATTCCTGGCCTTCAGATCCCGCTTAACAGCCTCGTACACATACTCAGGAAGCCTTACCTCCTCCAGCGAAAGCGACGAACCCCGAGCAGGGTTCAAAATGCTATCTACGTCCCCGACCTCCTGGAAGAGGACCTTCATCGCTCGCTGCGAGGAGATTGTATGTTCTGCGCTGGAGCTGGAGTACCGAAAGTCGGGGTTGAAGACCCATAGCTTCATGCCGTTAGCTTACTTCGGATACAAATGTGTGAGGGAGAGGGACGTACTAAGAGTCCATTTGGCCTGCCACAGTGGATAACGAAGCGACGGGCGCTTTCCCGCTCGATGAGCTCGAGGAGTTGAGCCGCGACGATGGTCTCGATGGGGTGGGTTTCCCATGTTGATGAATCTTGGGAGATATTGGCGGATAGGCTTGTCTTGAATAGTCTCCAGCCCTGCGCTACGGCGTCTTCGATACCGATCATGGCGTTGCAATTTGCGCAGTTCAAGGATATTTCTTCCTTTTGGGCGGACTCTTCAGGTGAAGGTTGTTGTACCTATGGTAAAAGTCGGAATCAGCGAGCTGATACGTAGTAATGGGCAGAGATGACAATTGTATTCAGAATTCAAACGCTATCTAACCTACAGATAGTTAAGGCATACTCTACAGCTTGTATGTACCTTGCCTAATCGCGTCGATCCCATACCTCTGGGAAGTCCCATAGACCGAAATCAACGAAGAAACGAGCCAGGCAGCCTTAACCTCAGAGTATCAGACAGGCCCCCGTGAGCCGCAACGACAAAATGGCCTAAGCAGATGAAGCGCGAAATCCATCTCATAAGGAGGATAACTGCACCCCAAGGGCGAGGCCATCTTGCCATCACGACTGCACGTCAGTCCGTCCCACTCAGAGGAGCTTAAATCAATATAGGGCAATTGTATCGAAGACCCGTCCATGGAAACGAAAAGGCCTCCTTCTTTTTGCCCACAAGTAAAGAGAAAGAATAGCGGAAACCAAAGCACAGACAAGCCTTACCTTCTTTAATCCCCTGCAATCCGCCTCCGAGACCAGAAACGTCGCCACATCCACGAGGACCGTCCCGGCCGTCGCCACCACCTGGTTCGCCGCTCCGTATCCCTTCGTCTGAGCATTGGGGTCTTCCCCATGACGGTGGCCCTCAGGAGGGTCCGGTTTATGACAATGCCAGAAATCCATCATCTCGGCCCAGTTCCCGCTCGGCAGGTCCTTCCACGTCCAGCCCGCTGGACTGGTATTCTCAGACCCGTCGGCGCATCGAGGCGCATCCAGAATGACATTCTCACACCCGCGACAACGCAGTCTCGTCGACGGAGACATATCCGCCGCGGTCCAGGGGACGAAGTCATCGATGAGCGGATCCTTGGACGGAAGTGAATCATCCGGCTCATCAATCTGCATTCGGAAAGAGAATTCGCGTCGCCTGGTCCCTGAATCATTATCTGCGGTGGTCGCAGCGCCCTGTCTATTGGTGGCTAGAACGCGCCGCGAGGCTTCATTAACCCGCGCGGGCAGCTTGATGGTATCTGCCACATGGTCGAAGGGGGCCGGTAAAGATACCGAGACAGATTGACGGGATTCTGAGAGGGTTATCAGTGGCTGGATGTTCTGGCTACCTAGATTGGCCGGTAATGAGATGTAGAGTGTGATGTGACGGATGTTTGGGAGGAGTTCGGCGTGGAGATACAAGGACGTGTCGACATCTGTCTCGGGCTTCTCTGGGGAAGTAGGCATGACAGATTTTAATCTTCACATATCAGGAGTGCGAACTGTCAGGGTAAGTATCGAGACTGAGATAGAGCAAATGCGCAAGAAAGGGTATCATTATTCCTGAAGGCGACAGTGGTTGTGTTGATGGATTTGGTTGCAAACATTTCAAACAAAGCTGTGTTTATATCACGTGATTTTTTTGCTTCACACTCATAAGCTCACGTGATGAGACATTGATTCCATAACCGACTAGATTAAGCATTTTAGATCGTCGTAGACAGAAAATTACCCGGCTTGAAAGTTCATAGTAATACAAACGCTGAAGAAAACCAAGCACTGACACAGCCCCTTACACAAACCCTCCCCAACCGTCGAACTCCTCTGCAAATTTCACAGCTGCCTTTAGATAAAGCTCATCCGAGTCTCCCCATGTTGCTGCAGCCTCCCGCATAGCACGCAGAGCCTTGACATAATGTGCGTCCGTAGAATGCTTGCTCTTGACCGCTTGCTTGGCGGTCCATTTCCAGTCTCTTCCTTGCGGGTCGTAATTTCGAATTCGGTCAAGATCGATCTCCGGTCTGAGCTGGGCGATGTACACAGCCAGCGTCATCAGCCACCACTGCCTGACGAGTGGAACTTGAAACCGCGCAGGAATCAACGGCAGGAGGATCCGGACAGCATGGCTGGTGGTAAGGATATGCACGAGGAAGAAATCGTATTTCTCGGTGGGATCTGCTTGTGTAGCAGTAAGCACAGCGGCGGCGAGTTGCTGGCTCTCGCGGAACTGAGGCACTGGATCCTCAATCTTCCAAGCGTTCCAATGGTCCAGTAGGGCCGCCTCGTGGTGTCGGAAGAGAGTCTCCAAGTTATGGTCCCCTGGTGTTGCAAACAGCCCTTTAAAGCGCTTGTCAGCACGGACCTTGGCTAGGATCTCAAAGAGCGAAGAAGAATGGTACGACGATTCCGCCTTGGAATAGGATGAATCATCAATGTACTTGTGTATGTCGTCGTAGCAAGTCGCCGCAAGACCCAACGCCTCCATAGCGACCTCCCGACTGGACATCTCAAAGGCATAACCCAGATGAATCAATGGATGCCCAACTAAACGCCCAACGTCAGCATATCATTCCTCAAGCAAATATCTCAACCACTCACGATCAGCAACAAGCGAACTAAACAGTGGTTCCTTGCCGGAGAACAGATAGTCCGCTACGACCTTCTTCCAGTCATACCCATGCCGCACAAGCTCGTCCTCGAAGAAATCCACAAACGCCCGCTGGTACCTATGCCACATCAGCCACATTTCGCAACTCATCTTACGCAATAACCAGAGATACATACTCCCGCCGTCCAAGATAATCCCGCCAGTCATACGTGCTGATCTCCCCCGGAGAATCAACCCACGGCTCCAGCGTCTTCGACTCAGCCTCATACACTCGGTTCAGATCATCCGCGTCTGCACCTTGCAGAAACGCTGAACTCAGAATCTACTTAACATCAGCAATGTAGTCTCCAGGACTGGGGCGCGAAAACCAACATGAGGGGCATGGTTGTGGAATTTCCGCTCGTTGTACAGGATGGCGTGATTCGCGTGGTTCAGTTTGAGCAGGTGCTTCAAGGCCCTGGCGGGCTTTTCGTGGGCTGTGTCGACCTCATGGACCTTCACTGGTGGGATGTCGAATACTGTCTGGCGTTTCCAGGATGGGAGGAAACTGAAGGAGGGTAAAGAGAATGAAAGCATTGTATATTGTCGGTGGGTAGCTAGTATAGATGTGGGGCTTTATGTTGAGGTTGCAGTTCCAGTACACGGGTTGACTCAGTGAGTTGATGGCGAGTTGGAATTCCGCACCCTGTTTTGTTAAACAGGAAATCAAATCCGATTGAAAGTTTGTGAAACTTATTGATATGGATGAGCTGTCAGCAGTCGGATAGATAGTGCTGGCAGTACGGAGTAGTTTTGGTGGTGATCTTCATTCTTCAAAGCTGTGGGGATTTAGCTGTTGATCGTTGGGGAAGGATTGGTGGCCTGAGGTTGGAATGACGTAATGCCTCCTTTCAACAAACTATACTTGTAAGCAGGCCTGACTGCCTGAGGTTGACTGCTTAGAGGGTTCCTAGCCAGCAAGGAGTCAGCAACTAGGCTGTAAGTTATTACTATATTATAAGGTTTTAAAAGGGTATAGGTTCACAAGTAATATGAATATATTATAATATTAGAATAAACTACTTAGTTCTTACTAAGCTATCTAATTACCCCTATTTCTACTATATATATATAGAGTTTAGGGAAACTAAACTTATTCTTGACCTCGAAAACATGCCGGCGTTGGTGGCCAGGATAGCCAGGACCATCCCCTATAGAAAATTAGCATCCTACACACGGAGAGAAGACCAGCGACTCACGAAGCAGGCAAAAACCATCCCAGCACGGGCACCCGGCCCCCAATACTTCGCCAGGATAGCATCATAGAGATCCCACACATTCCAATATGAAGTACCCAGAAAGCCCTATGCCGCGCCGGTGGTACCAGCACTGAGGAATATGATCAGGATCTTGCTGATAAAGATACTGAGAGTCTGTGATCAAGTCGCCTGGTACGGCTTCTACGCATACCACGCGATATTCCTGCATTCATTACCATATGTGGACATGCGGGGGTCTAAGAGTCTGAGAATTGTGATTGTATATCCGGAGCCTCCGAATTGTGGCGGCGAATTAATCGTGTTGCAGGTGGTTGGGAATCAGTCCATATACAGAATGAGGAACAGTTGTACTTGTACGAGAAAGCAGATTGTCCGACTGTCTTACATATTCCCAGCTTACTGAGCCTTAGAACAGAGGCTCTGAAAGTGCAATATTACGTGCATTCTTAGTAAAGACTTCTTGCTAAGAGATCATCTCCTAATTTCAAGAATCCCTAAATGATCGTCCACATCCTCTGCATTAGCCCGCCTGGCATCGAGGTAGCCATGGGCACGGTCGCACGCATCACATTCGCGACCCCAGACTGCTCGATAGCAAGACTTGGGAATGCCGTGGAGGTATCGGCACGTGGCCCCTTGGCATTCGTAACCCTCGATGTACTTTTGCATGATTAGCACCATCTCTAAGACTAGGTCCCCATAGCAGACTCTGGGGAGCTTACCTCACAGACCCACAGCCGATCACAATTCGCACCTAGGTGGAACGGGTGAGGTCCGAAGACTTCTGTAGAAGGATTACCTTGACTGTGGGGTTCATATTGAATGATATAACATACACGGATAATGTACTGCACCTGCAAGGTCGAACCTCCGGACACGGATACAAGAAACACCTTGATATAGTCCATGATTGCGGATGCAAGGCGCGCCAGGCAATCCTGGAGTTGAGTCTTGCTGAACTGTGTGACATAACAAGTTAGCATAACCAGCTGCGAGAGAGAATATAAGTAAGACACTTACAGCAAATTCAAGTTGCGCGGATCCGGAGCCACTGGCTCCATCCCCAACCGTGAGTTGCACGTAGACAGTCAGGGTAAGCTCTGGCGCGCCACAACGCATTAGTGTACTGGCCACCTCCAAGAACTGCTGGCAAGCTTTTGCTTCCCAGTCCTCATCCGCGAGCGAGTACTTGAGTGAATTAGCCAGGCGACTAAGCAGCCTTCTGATGACTGAACATACCTTGAATTGAATCGACACTCTACCCCACTGAGGAGGCATACGTGAAAAGGGGAGGGCGTGAGATGTTTCCGAGGGCTCCATCATCGCGTGTTGAGCCTCAGACCTCTGGGTTTCGTCGAGAGGAACAGGCGTGGGAAACGACATGATTGTTGGTCTGAAGTAGCTGAAGATAGGACAGATACGGCTGGACAAGAAAGAGGCAGAGGCAGAGGCAGAGGCAGAGGCAGAGGCAGAGGCAGAGGCAGAGGCAGTGGAGGAGGCAGTGGAGGAGGAAGAGGAGGTAGAAGAGGTGGAAGAGGAGGAAGAAAAGTAGGCGAGGCAGTGAGGTGACGAGGTTGGGTAACAGAAAGTCCCAATTGAAGCAAGCTGAAAATCTTCACTGACTACCTACCCACCTCCGTAGTAGTTCTTTGGCTCTTCCGTTTATCTTCCTTTCTAGAGGTTGGAAGAATAGATTCACATATACTTAGAAGTTACTTGATCAAAAGACTTTACTATTCACCAAGATAGAATAGTAGAGGAACAAAAAGTTGGGGTAAATAATAAACATATCAGGGCTAGGAGTAACAGAAAGTGCTTTCAGTCACCAAAATAGAAGGAGTCTTTCCCCCTCCTTCTCCCACTCTCTCTGCCATCATCTCTCTCAGCTTCTCGTCTCACCCTCGAGGTTTCTGCTCATTCCAACCACGACCACTCGACCAGTCAAATGATCAACCATGGATGCGTCAGTCTCACGCCCTCATCTTATAGGACCTAGCTAACGTTCCCCGTGGAAAGCTCAAGACGGACAGACATCGTTCTCGAAATCACCAAAACTGCCCTTACAGTTGGATCCTCAAATTGAGCGTTTGCTTCAAAAAGGCCTACTGCTTAGTATGTGGATCATCAACACCCCCGAGCCGATACTAAGATGAACTAAGTTACTAAGTAAGATGAACTAGTTCTTATAAAGTAGTAATTCACAGCATAGAAAGGCCGTAGTTTCTGGCGCAAAAGCCATACATAACCATGTCCTTTCTATTATCACCCAGACTTACTCCATACACTTATGTACAGCTACTACTGAACTTGCTCAATATTGCTCAAATATATTGAAATAGCATAAGGTAGTACATTCTCACTCTGTGTGTACTATACAACAAACGCCTTCCTGAGGCTACTTTTCCTGAGGTACTGCATGCGCAACATTACTGTCGACAGGGTAATGGCCAGCAGGGAGTTGTCCTGTCAAGATGTCCATATCGGTCCGTGGTCCAGTGAAGTTCTTCCGCCCGTCAATGATCCACTGAATAGCCGAGATAATGATGATAATGCCAAAGGCAGCGACGCAGTAATCTAGACACAACGGTGTCAGTAGTGGCCAATTCTGCATTGCGCATCGAAACTTACTCATGCTGCTGCCCGATACGGGGAGCTCTGGCGGGAACAGGAAGAGCACAGTGGTGACTGAAATGTAGACAAGGGAGATCTAAAGCAACATATGAGTTCTCGCCTCAAGAGAGACCGTAAGAAGAACTTACCGCATTGGCGATCCAGCCAACAAGATTGGGAAGCACAAATGGGCGCTCGGGGAGCATGTTACGTCCGCGCAAGCAGTTGACTGCAATCGGCATACCATATGCAACATCCAGCAGTACCACAGAAGCGGAGACAATGGCGTTGAAAGCACTGAGTAGCTGTTAGCCATGGTACTATGATACCGTCAAGACACAACCAACCTGGTAGAGCCAAGGAAGATGCATCCAAAGATAACAACCAGTGCCAGATTCAGATACAAAGAGTTCAGAGGAACCTTCAGCTTGAGGTGCACTTTGCTGAAGAAGCGAGAAGCCGGAAGGCCTCCATCTCTGGCAGGCTTGTCAGCACAAAGCAACAGTCCTATAATCTGGTAGATAATCACCTTGCAAAAGCGAAGATCATACGGCTGCTGGTAGTCATGATGGAAATGGTTGCAAAAAGCATGCAGACCAGGGGGAACCTAGAGATTATTAGAAATGAACCAGGAGGCTTTTTGAAATGACCTACATGAGCAGGCAGATGGCTCCGGCATTGCTGTTGGTTGCGTTCTTGAGGATCTGTAGGAGAGGCCCGGCCGCCGAACTGATCACATCGTCGATGTTGCCAGCAACAAAGAGCAAAACAATCAGGAAGATGGTACCGGTCACAGTTCCGATACAGACACAGCCGATCATGATCTTGGGGCCGACAACCGAAGCACGGGGAATTTCTTTGCACGTAAGCTCGTGTCCTCACATTCGTATAGAGAACGAGTTACCTTCAATCATATGGGCGACACCGTCCTTTGACATGTTAGTATAGGGACGGGTACAAACGTCTGCAGGCGTGGAAACTTACAAATCCAGTAACACCGAGTCCACCTTGAAGCAACTGCATCGTTGTCAGCATCATGCATGTATTGACGTGACGAATAACGTACTCCAAGCAACCAGGCAACACCATCAGGCCCTGTGTTTGTCAGCTTCGGTACATCAAATGCCGGGGTGAGCACATACAGCCTGTCTCATTGATGAAATCCGTAAACACGAATCTGACTTTGTCAGCAGGGCCCTGAATTCGTAATACCACAGGAGTCCTCACTTTGCCGAGTTGTAGTTGGGCGACGCGCATGCCAGCACCGTAATGCAGATGACAGTAAACCCAGTGAGGGACCAGATGACTTGATACCATCAATATACTTCACGGAAACATTGGGAAAGAGACTTACAGGCACTCTTAGTAATATAAGGAAGAACAGAGTTCATCAAGGCATTGATGGTGAACGCAGCGATATTATAAGCAATGTAGATGAGGAACTGATGCCAACGCTGCGCCTCATATTCCTGTAAAGGGTCAATCAAGCATAACAGGCGTGGACGTCAACAAACTTACCGGATTCATCAAGGATATGACACCCAGAATCAACTGGCTGCCCAAGAGTCCACCAGTAGCGACGAGAGCGACCTGTTCCGTCAGCAGCGCACCCAAAGCTCCGAGACGGGTCACCATACCCAGCCAGACACATTCACCCAGCCAGTAATCCAAGAGAGAATCGGCATCCATCTCTCCCAGGAGACTTCCAGCCGTTAGCCCTGTCCGTAACTGCAATAGTACAGAAAAACTCACTAACTACAACACGAAGGAATATTAGCATCACCCTCTTCCATGTCCATGGAAATAAAAAAGCTCACCTGCAACCCAATGATACTGTCCACCAGCCCTATATGCCGTCAACAATTCAAATCCCAGCAACCAAAGACAAAAATACTAACGTAGGATACGCAGACAAAAACTCAGCCAGCGAAGCCGCAATGCAGAGATTACAGATCCCCGCCGTGATCAAACCTGAACCCCAAGTCAGCACCGAGCCCGACGACGCACCCAAGGGACGAAAAACCTACCCCAAACAACGCTCACGCTTCCTCCGGAGGGAAGACTCAGCGATAAACTTGCTGAAAGAGCCGTCCACGACTAGAAGGATATGGTCATTAGAGTGCGATATCGCAAATCCGGTGGAGTTGAACAGGCATACGTTCAGAATCGCAAACGCCAGTCCTAACATCGAACTAAATCCAGCATTCGTCAGTAGTCACTCAAAAGACGAGCCTCATTATCATCAGAAAAGAAAAGCATACAGCATGGAAAAATTGCGATCCAACTCGGCCTTGTGGCCCATGGCCGCAAGTTGGGCGTCATCATCGACCTGGCCTTTGTGCTTCTCTATCGAAGACATATCGCAGATATTACAGTAAATCAAGTATTGAATGCGACAAGAGTCAAAAGTAACCTGAAAAGCAAAGTCAAGAGCAGAGTAGCAATACTGTCAGGTTATAAGTAAGTGTAAGTTGCGTGGTAGGCAGGATTTACCCCATCCGGGGAAACTCAATTCTGGCAGCCTTAGATAGAGTCTAGTGTACTAGGTAGACAGGTACTTGCTAGGGAAAAGCCTCAAAAGTTAAGTTGAACCTTCTCCAATCTGACCCTTTCAGTTCTCTATCTACTCGTTATGCTATTTGCCATCGTTGGAAGCTGGATTCCTAGGAGTGTACTGTGTAGATACGGAGTACGCCATCATGTCCCTCACAAGACCCACCAGCTGATCGCGGGGGAATTTATCTGTTACATAATGGATATGGGGTAATCGCAACAGCATTACAGCATTCACAGCGTCTAAGGGACTGCGACCCAGATGATAAACTGATAGGACCTGGGTCTACCCCATAAGGTACCTACTGTGTACTCCGTAGAGATGTACCTTTCCGGTCAACTAAGCAGGACAAGCCATCCGTGCATGCATTGGTAGATATGGCAGATAAGTACTATAGCAGACGATAATTCGCCCACGTCGCCGAAGACACGGCGCCGACGGCCAGTCAGATGAAAGGAGGCAAAAGAGAAGAGGACGATCTGCAGGAAGTCGTTTCTTAGCGTTTGGGTGGGTGGGAGTCTCGGAGTCTTGGACCGCTTGGTAGGGGATTTGGCTGGTTCTAGAAAGCTTATGCAGACTGAGATTGAAAAGGTACCACTTGGCGACGGAGCACTTCCGAGATAGCATTCAGCATTCAGGATTGATGATTCATATTCGAAGTAGAGATAGATAATGAGACTCGCTTGTTCGGTCTGCTTGAGACAATATATATACAGGGTGACGGAGTTCGGTGGACTAGTTGCAGATGGCTGATGTCTCACTGGGCGCAATTTGATGATTATCGACCAAATTGACAAACGGATCCCGATAAGCCTTCATTCCTGGGTAGGGACTCCGTACATACCGAGTAATAGGAGATTAGGAGGAAAGTTAAAGTGGAGAGTCTTGTGGAGGTCTCCCACGTGAGCACACGGCTTGGTTGGACCATTATTATCGAAGAATGGCACTATGACGAATCCATTCATATCATCAACGTTCATCCACATATTGATAGTGTTATACGGAGTAAACACGGTCAACTCCAATCCACAGCGGAACAATGACACATGGTATCGATACAGCATCTGATGCAAACATAATATATACATGCAACATGGAGAATATCAACCCTCCCAACTCTACGCTATGCTCATCCCTCGTCTCATTCCATTGCAACAAA